AGCAAGACAGCAGGAAGCACAGCTGGTGCGTCTGTTAATCATCTCAGTCAGTCATCCCTTGACACCTGGATCATTCTCATGACATGCTGACAAGTGATCCACACTTACATGGCATTCATGTGAAATATATGTGTATGTAAGAGTTTATCTATGTGGGGAGTGGTGGCGCAGTTTTTCCACTGTGTAACAAAAAAAAATGTCTTGTTCCTGTATGTGTTATTTCCTAATTGCTTTTGCCTCTTAAGTACAAAAAATGGCTATTCCCCACAAACTTTGCTTTTGTGACCAGGACAGTGATATTTAGAAATATACCTCTTTTCAATGAAAAAACAGGTGAATTTGTTATTTTCGTTCACGTACAATTCTGGTCACAAAAGCAAAATTTGTGGAGAATAATAGCCAATTTCTAGACTCTTAGGCATAAGCAATAAAAAAAATAACACTTAGTACCCAGGAACAAAAATTGTGTTACATAGTGTTATCACAATTAAAGTTTGATTATCTCTGACAACAAACGTGATTGATTCATGAAAACTTAACTTATTGTGGGGAAGCATTAATAATGAGCATATGAAGGTGGCCAGGCATGGTTCTGAACACACCACCACCTTTTTTCCATGCCAGTGTGTGTTACAGTGTCAAGTTTGTATTTGCAGTAAAGTATATTAACTCTTTTGAACACGTTGGTTAAATCAAAACAATAGTTTATTTTAGTTTTCCTTTTGGGCTTTTCATAATAATGGAAACGGGAAGTTAACACAGCACATATGCAGCTGAAGTTAGATCTGTTCATCCCAGCATTCAAGGAAATCTGAGCCTGGCTTCATGCCTCTAAGTTAGCGATTGAACATTAATTTATGCATTTCTGCATAATAAAAATAGTATTATTTTCAACACCCTTTTCTATGTTAGCTGCATTTTTCTTTCATAAATATTCTTTTTGTAGCCAGAAAACTGAAATTGTGTGCTTGGAGTTTTAGGTTAACATTCATTTTGAAGATACTAGGGCTTCCAGGTTGACCATTGGCCCTCTGATTGTGTGCCCGTGTGATGAATTTGGGAATCTTTTTCATATTATCATGAATATATGAATGAGTATAGACATGCAAGTCATGTGTGACTGTATATATGCATTCCTTTGTGCCTCAATACTGACGTAGATAGTGTGGATATTCTCTTTTTTCTGTCTGCAGCTGACGCTTCCTCTGCAGAATTGGTTTGATGGAACAAAGGCACTCAGCGCAGCTCGGTACAAAAAGGCAACAACGCGACCAGCGTGCATACAGCATGGATCGTGTTGGACATTTAACACAGCACCAGAGAACTCACACAGGAGAGAAACCCTTCAAGTGCACTGTGTGTGACAAGGCATTTTCATATCCATCAGTTCTAAGGAACCACCAGAGAACACACACGGAAGAAAAACCCTTCAAGTGCAGTGTGTGTGGGAAGGCATTTTCATATTCATCTGCTCTTAAAAAACACCGGAGAACACACACAGGAGAAAAACCCTTCAAGTGCAGTCTGTGCGCGAAGGCGTTTTCACAGTCATCTGCTCTTGTATTACATCAGAGAACACACACGGGAGAGAAACCCTTCAGTTGCACTCTGTGTGGGAAGGCGTTTGCACGTTCACAAAATCTTAAAATACACCAGAGAACACACACAGGAGAGAAACCCTTCAAGTGCACTGTGTGTGACAAGGCATTTTCACATTCATCAGTTCTTAGGATCCACCAGAGAACACACACGGGAGAGAAACTCTTCAGGTGCAGTCTGTGCGGGAAGGCGTTTTCACAGTCATCTGGTCTTGTATCGCACCAGAGAACACACACGGGAGATAAACCCTTCAAGTGCAGTGTGTGTGGGAAGGCATTTTCAGATAAATCTCCTCTTAAAAAACACCGGATAACACACACAGGAGAAAAACCCTTCAAGTGTAGTCTGTGCGACAAGGCGTTTTCACAGTCATCTGCTCTTGTATTACATCAGAGAAGTCACACGAGAGAGAAACCCTTCAGTTGCACTTTGTGTGGGAAGGCGTTTGCACATTCACCATATCTTAAATTACACCAGAGAACACACACTGGAGAGAAACCCTTCAAGTGCACTGTGTGTGGGAAGGCGTTTGCACATTCACAACATCTTCAATTACACCAGAGAACACACACGGGAGAGAAACCCTTCAAGTGCACTGTGTGTGACAAGGCATTTGCACAGTCATCAGGTCTTCATAGACACCAGAGAACACACACGGGAGAGAAACCCTTCAGTTGCACTCTGTGTGGGAAGGCGTTTGCATAGTCATCAATTCTTAAAAGACACCAGAGGACACACAAGCATCAGAAGATCCCCAAGAAATGGAGTCTGAAATCGGCTTGTGAAAGTCAAAGTGCTGCAATGAGCCCATCCCTCATGAAACCAGAAGTGAATCCCAGCTTGGACACTTTTAAAGGTATCAAGGTGAAATGTGAAGAGGCGAAGGTGAAATGTGAAGAAGTGATGAAGAGCGAAGAAGTGAAGGTGAAATGTGAAGTGATGGTGAAGAGCGAAAAAGTGACGGTAAACTGTGAAGATGAAGATTCAACTCCAAAATCGTACCTTCACATCGATGGAGACAACGTGAAGCAGGAGGAGAATTCTGACTGCGAGGCAGAGCTAGGCAACTCCCAGCAGTTTGTGGAAGTGGAGGTGTGGGTGGACTTCTTAGACAATACAAAGTCAAATGGAGACCCGGTAGATGGGTAGGCTTGAGACAATGAAGCTCCAATAGATTCACCTTTGTCACAGGCCTTTAATGAAAAGAACGTGAAATTGAACACTGAATTCCTGGGTTCAACCTGCAGAGTAAGAGCGGCGAGTATTTGTTGACCTGTGGGTTGGGTAGATGAAGTATCAGGATCAAGAGCCAATAAGCTTCTAAGTATTCCACTGTTATATTTATATTAGCATTGATATGGTGTTTAATTGCCTCAGCAACTCAGTTTTATATCTCATCACAAACACTCGAAGAGTACCTTCAAGTGGCAGCTGCCTCTGTCATAAGGTGACTCTGCTGTCACCTGCATGTGGGCATGAGTCTGTCAGTAGGGGGTGATGATGTGTAATCTTCATTATGTAATTTCTGGATAATGTTTGAAATTGCCCAAATATTGTCCATGACACCAACATGCAATGACCTATGCGTTTTGAATGACACAATCTTAAGCAGACGGTGCATATTTTGTTAAATGTTCCTTGAGTAGCCAGACGTGCCTGTCGGATTTGAACCTTGAACCTCTGCAATAAATAGAGAATGTGCTTCTACTTGGCTTCCCTCAATCTGAGTGTAGGCATGACAGCCTGAATGTGTCTAACTGGCGCAGATGTTCCATTTAGAGGGGTCCACGTTTCACATGCCTACATTAGGGAGGGCATGACTGGCCGAGAAGAACCGAAGCTTCATGTGGAGCGACAGACCAGGCAGCTTCTACACAGCATAGCGCAGCCGATGTAAATATAATGCCACCCGACTGATTCGGACCACCCACACTACACGCAGTATACCCACAAGATCTACACACACCATGTACACAGCGTACACACAGTTTGCCCACACAGTATACAAACAGTCTGTACACACACCGTGTATACACACAGTAACAACCGCCATTCGCCACTAAGTGGCGGTGACGTCACCACGGCGCTTGTGCCAGGCTATGTGCACGGGGCAGATCCAGGTGTCATGGGTCGACTGACTTAAATGACTGGCCAATGCACCACCTGTGCCCCCGACTGCGCCAACAAACAGTGTCCACACACAATGTTCACGTTGTTGTTGAGCTCACGCACCCAATGGGTTTCTGTTCAAGAGAGGGAGCCACAGAAATGGAATCTAAATAAACTTGAACTCTAACCCTGATCTCGCTCTCTGACGTCACCCCTCATTAACTCGGCATGATATGCGAGGGGGAGGTGTCCTCCATTAGTGACGTCATGTCACCGAGGTATTTACCCCCCACCGGGATTTTGAGCGTGACGTCACGTCTGCCGATTTCCGTTTCAGTAAAGTGCTTATTTTGGACGGGGTCAGCAGCCAAGAACCATCACCTGACATGGGCCCCTCATTAACATAATATATTCAGTTACCCTGCTGCTCGTTGGGGAAGAGGATTGTGTGAACCCCGCAAGTGACGTCATGTCACCTGCTGTTGCCGCATGACGTCACGAGTAACCAGGTAGCTGCTGCTCCGCGCACGCTCGCTCACTGAGATCCGAGGTGAGAAGTTTACATCGTGGTGGTTGTTGTGGTGGTTGTTGTTGTAAGCCCAGGTAGAGCCTCGCTCCTTCTCCCTCGTAGGGATATCAATTGAGTAGCAGCGAGTATGGAATCGATGTCCAGGTTGGAACATTACAACGCGGGGCCTAGCCATGCGGGGCCTTGCCTCCTGCCCTCGCCTGATTGCATTTGCTTTAATTCTCTGCTTAAGTTTAATTTGTCTTCACCTGGCTCACTACTTTGAAACTTTGTTTTTACTTTCAATATTTCTACGTTTTTTTATTTTACCAGGCATAGGCCACTTGAGCTACACCGCTCGTTTTCAGAAGCGACCTGCCCACAACACAGTGGGCTTATCAACGTGTGGAAATCGTCTTGGTTCTTTCGGTAAAGTCACGTAGAAGGGAAGTAATAAAATAATCAAAATAAAACATAATAAAATAATTCTCACGACGTTTCGGCCACAACGCAAGCAGCCGTCCTCAGGTGAAAACCAGGTGTCGACAGACCTGGTTTTCACCTGAGGGACGGGTGCTTGCGTTGTGGCCGAAACCTTCGTGAGAATTATTTTGTTTTATTTTGATTATTTTATTACTTCCCTTCTACGTGACTTTACCGAAAGAACCAAGAAGATGAACCCCTGCAGTCACGAAAGCTTACATCGAAATTTAACGTGTGGAAATGTTTATCGGTCAAATACTCTAAACGCGTGGTGATGTTGACTCTAAATGTGCAGGGAAAACCGCAGGATCCGTCGGAAAATCCACGCGACCACGGAGAGAGAGGGACACGCAAACGCCAAATATACAGCCATAATACAGGTTTGTTTGTGTGAGATCGTGTAAATAAATAAATGTGTCGTTCACCCCGCTACCACCCGATACATCCAATTAATAAGGGGTTTGTCACGTAAACAGAACGTGGCCAATGCGTCACTAGTACAGCACTAGTGTGTAGTGTATAATACTGTAGTGTATAGTAGTGTGTAGTGTATAGTAGTGTATAGTGTAGTGTACTAGTACATCTCATCGGTGTGTTGAAGAGCCAAGCCACAACATTTACAATCTGAGTACAGCGTTTTGACACTAATTCCAACCATCTTCATCAGACGACAGCCAAATGTTGTGGCTTGGCTCTGGGAATAGAAATCGGCTCGTTGGGTTAATAGCGCAGCACGCTAACCGTTGCACTACCGCTCCCCACTCACGCACAAACTTTATCGGAAGTATAGTATCCAGTAATAACTAAGTTTCCCGGCTTAGCTCAGGTCTCGGTAATCAAACATTAAAAGTAATGTCTTGCCATGCTGGCTTTATTAGAATAATTTAATTCTGCCAAAGAAAGCTGTAAATGTGTATATTGTCACGGTTTTGTGGTTGTGTTATACAATAGCGGGGCTTGTTTGTTTCATGAGGACAGCTTTTAAATACGTTGCCCTTGGAGAGCTTCAGGATAGACAATGTTGGATTTTTGCCATCGGGTGGTGTTGGCACAATTTGGTTCCCAAAAAAACGTTCATATGCACAAAGTTTGCTTTATTTATATAGATTTTTCCCATATTTTGTCTTGTGTATGGTTTCTCAATGTTCATTATAATTGTTTAGTTTTTTAATTTTCCTTTTACCTCATGCCATTATTTAGGTAAGGCTTAAGTATTGAATATCGCACTTTTGGCTTTGTGAGGCACTTTCCCAGATCGTAACCTCTATATTCCAGGGGCTGAGGAGTGCCGATTTTCAGCAGAAACTATATCTCTGCTTTATTGATGTAATTAAGGCATGTAGTACCATATAGAGGCTTGGGGCTTTGGGTTCTTTGTTTTTTACGTCTCTGCCTCTACTCACATTCTTTGATGATTTTTATGATTTTGGGAAAGCCCGTCTAAAGCTGCGTGACCAGGAGTCGGAGTCATTTCCTGTTCAACTTGGCTTGTGACAAAAATTCACTCTGGCCCCATTCATTACATTACAGAGCATCTTCAATAATTATGTCGTTTGAGAAGCTCTCAATGGCCATAGAAATAAATAGCATTGGTTACGGTTAAAATGATACGCGCATCGATGCCTGCTTATAGTTAAGGGATCGTTCCTTGGTCAACCATGTTATATCTGCTGATGATCTGGAAATGGCTACTTAATGAGATGGGGTTCGATAATCTTGTTCTGTGCCTGGATAATTCCATCATGAAAGGTGGCCTTGCGTATGTTTCACCAAAATAAATCACCTGCCTGGGAATTTCATGTCATACAACACTGTACCTGCTCAACTCTCCATGAGTAATCAGGCAGTTCTACAAGTGGTGGAGGAGTTCCCATGCCTGGTTAATGTGTTCACGACCAGCTCTGGTTTGGCAGCCAAAGTCTCACTTTAAATTAGTCGAGCAGCATTCTTTCATTAGACTGTGTAACACTGTGTGGAAGCTGCCTGGACTTTTGCGCCATACAAAGCTGTGAGTGTCCATCACCAAGGTCTAGTCTGTCTGAGACCATCCCTCTCCCTGCCATACTGGCATCGCACCCGCCTCTCACTCGTCGTACTGTGGATGGTGGGCGCACAGGACGGTGCCACGCAGCCATTCCAGGCTGGGTCCAAATGGGTTACGTGGGTCACCGAGCCACCAGGCCTCATTCCACGAGTGATATCAATATACAATATCTGTAACGAGGCCCCCCAATAGACTGCCCCTGGAACTCTATCGGGCACGTCCCACTGAGGGAAGTCCCCGGGGCCCAGGCAAGTACATGCTGGTGGGGATATGTCGCTTGGCTGATTTGGGAATGCCTGGGAATTCCCCAGGAAGATCCAGAGTCTGTCGCCAGGGAAAGGGAAGTCTGGACTGCCCTACTAAATGTTCTGCCGCTACAACCCTCACCAAGACGAGAGGATTTAGAAATAAACGAACAAACAAAGCTGTGAGTCTTCTTGGCCACAGATATTACTCCTTTCTCTGTGGATGCAAAATATTAACTTACTTAAAGGACTGTCTGTTCTGGCTTATAATTAAGACTTGCCAGCCTATGATCCCCTCTATTGAACCAAACAAGATTGTATTAGAACCTTACAGATCCCTAAAATACCAGTACAGAACATAATCAGCGAGTTTATTTGGGAGGCCAAGCTGCATTGGTTGGGTCATGAATCCCGCATTAACAGACAGCATGCTCAAGCATCTTCTGTTAGTCCAGGTGTTACGAGCTAAACAGGCATGGCATTGGCTTTAGAAGAGATTGGATGATGTGAAGTTGATCACACCTGCTGATGACTGGTACCAGGAGTGTCATGATCAGCCTCTGTGGAGGAGGCCCGAGATATATGCTGCGGGTCAGTTGAAGATATTTGCTCTGCAACAACAGTGAGATCGGAGGAGCAACGCTCACATGAATGGGTGGAACGCCGGGTGCCTAAAATGCAGCAAGACAGTGTGAAGCACAGCTGGTGCATCTGTCAAACATCTCAGTCATTCATCCCTTGACACCTGGATCATTCCAATGACCTGCTAACAAGTGATCCACACTTACATGGCATTCATGTGAAATGTATGTGTAGTGAGTTCAACTGAGTCGTAGATGTACACTTGGAGGCAACACATTTATTTAACACCAACACACGGGGTAACTGCCCCTTAACAGAATAACAACCTGTGGTGGTGACCACCAGGCTAACTGCACTAATTACAACGTAACGAGCTACTACGGACCGGGACCACAGCTCGGGTCCAGTTCCACATGTTGTAGACTTGGTGGAACGTAGACGAACGTTTCTTCAGGTTGAACAACAACGCCGGTTCCTCTGGGGGACCCGGCTTATATTTTTTGCGGTGTGGCTAGCTCCGCCCTTGGCCACGACCACCTTTCAGAATCCTCAAGCAGGATCTGGACCCCGACCACGTGACCACCCCTAGCCCCCACTTTGGGCCCCTTTGTGGACTTAGCTTGTCACGTGCCCTCTCGGGTCAACCAGAGTGCCATGGCCTTTCGTAACCTCATTCCTACGGCCGGCACTCCCACACCCTATCCTGTAGGGCCGGCACTACACGCCAAGCGTGGTGCCATTCGGTGATATCAATCAGCGCTCACCGAGCCCCTTTAGGGCTAGTACTACACTCACCATAATGGTATCCGCGATGTCGTTACACCGCACGCCGTGCCTCTCTAGAGCCGGCACTACACAGTGACATCCCGCAATGTCACTACATCTGTAAGAGTTTATTTATGTGGGGAGCGGTGGCGTAGTTATTACACTGTGTAACAATAAAACATTTTTCTTCCTGGGTAGTGTTATTTCCTAATTGCATATACCTCAAAAGTACAGGAAATGCTATTATTCCCCACAAACTTTGCTTTTGTGACTAGGACAGTGATATTTTGAAATTTACCTATTTTCAATGATAAATTTGTGTCTTTTCGTTCACATAAAGTCCTGGTCACCAAAGCAAAGTTTGTGGGGAATAATAGCGATTTTCTATACTTTTTAGGCATAAGCAATAAAAAAAAATAACACTTTGTACGCAGGAACAAAAATTGTGTTACATAGTATTATCATTGTACTAGCGGTTAGTACCCGGCATTGCCCGGGCGAAAAAGGCAGACACATGTAGTTACACACGCAAATCGACTCACACACACAGAGTTACACGCACAAATCGACTCACACATACATACATAGACTGAACAAAAACCGCCATTCATCACTAAGTGGCGGTGACGTCACGACAATGCTTGTGCCAGGCTATATGCACCTTGAGGCCACATGAAGTGTCGAACGCCCGCTGGCAGGAGGTCAGGGGGCAAACCCAGATGGCACAGATCGACTGACTGAGACGACTGGCTGATGCACCACCTGTGGCCCCTACTGTGGCAACTTTCTGTGCTTTAGCCACCCGGCGCTCCGCTCGTTGTTGTGAGCGTCACTCCTCCGCCCTCCGTTGTTGTTGGAGGGTGACTGATTCCAACTGCCCAGTAGCGTCCTTCAGGAGCCTGCTCCAGAGGCCGCTCTTGACACCGTTGGTACCAGTCATCCGCAAGTGGACTCAGCTCCAAGTCATCCTGTACCAGATCACTCCATGTCTTCTCCAGCCCGTGCCGCGCCCGTTTAGCCCCCTCGATCCGGTCGAACAAAAGCTGTTTAGGCATGCGGTGGCTGGCCATGCGGGCTACATGACTCGGGCAACGCAGCCTTGCCTGCTGGAGGTCACCGATGGGACTTTGTCCACATCTTTCAAGGATTTGTGAGCTCCTCACACAATGCAGCCTGGTTAAACCCAGGATGGATCGTAGGCAGGCCATCCTAAATGTTTATAATCGGCGAAGATGTTCCATTAGGGGGTCCAAGTTTCGCAAGCATCGAGAAGGGAAGGAATGACCGTGGCCGAGAAGACCTGAAGCTTCGTACGGAGTGATAGACCAGGTAGCTTCCACACAGTGTTACGCAGCCAATGAAAAGATAATGCAGCTCGACTGATTCGGAGTGAGACCTTTGCTGTTAAACCGGAGCCGGTCATTAGCACACTGGCAAGGTATGGGAAATTGTCCACTGTCTCCACAACTAGCCCATCACCAATTAGGAGTTGTGGGGGTGGAGTGTCCAATGGTACAAAATAGCCAGGCAGGTGCTTAGTTTTGGTGAGGCTGATGGTAAGGCCTCCACCTCTTGGTGGCAAGCTCCAGGTTCAGCAGCAGCACCTCGAACTCCTCCTCCGAGTGAGTTGCAATTAGCAGATCATCGGCATACAGAACGCGGTTGAACAATAGAGTGCCATCCCTTGACCGCACCCGGGCATCGATCAGCCTCCCATTGTTTCTGTAGCAGATGGGAATTCTTCCGGTACAGGCATTGAAGGCTTGACGAACTACGTGGTCCAAATATATGTAAAATAATGTGGGAGCCAGAGGACATCCCTGTTGCACCCCAAGGTGGAAAGGGAATGGCTCTGACTGACGGCCACGTATTTAGACGCGGGCGGCTCGCCATCATGAAGGTCCTTAAGGATGGTGATTAGTGGGTCAGGGACTCGGAAAGCACAAAGAGCAACCCAGAGGCCAGGCCTACTGATGGTATCATAGGCCTTGAGCAGGTCAATAAAGCACATGCATGGACTAAGATGCACACATGGACCTACAGACACGCAAAGAAATGGAGTTACACTGACTAACACGCACATGGACTGAGACACACACATATCGACTCACACAAACACATCGACTTACAGACACACACATATGGACTCACACACACATAGACATGCACTTAAGATACACACACATATATGGATGTACACACATACAGCGACTCACACACCGACTCACACAACAATACGTGGACTCACACACACATTGACGTAAACACACATGTACTTACACACACACATATGGACTAAGACGCACACACATGGACTTACACACACACACAGCGACTGATACGCACACAAATGGACTGACACGCATACTTGGACTGACACACACACATAACCACTTTGACATACACACACATGGGGCGTTGTCCGTTATAAAATGACAGACACACACATGGGGTTAAAGACGCATGGCTCTACACGCACACACATATGGACTCAAAGACACACACATCGACGGGCACAGCAATCAGTATGGCAGTACTACGTATGAGGAAATAGCGTGACGTGAGCGATGGAAACAATATAAATTTATTGAAGAAATAATCAAATCACAGACTGACAGTGAACCGTGGCAGCGTCATAAAAGACAGCATACAAGGGAAAAATGAGCAACCTAAAAATCCAAAAAGAGTTTTGTGTACACAAACATAATTATTGTAACATGTCAACTTGTTTCATAATGGTAAACAATGAACCTGAGTTGTTATCTGCACACAATATCTGGCAACGTATTGTTTAAATAATAATAAGCAATCAACGTGAGTTCTTATCTGCACACAAACATTATTATAGTAATGTTTGTCAACTAATGTGTTTAACAATAGTAAACAATGGACTTGAGTTGTTAGCGTAAGAAGCAATGGACTTTGTACTTACCATAGCCATGTTGAGGCATTGTGCCATGCGTAGCCCCCGTCCTGGCCTACATTGGCGAGGCAGCAGAGTTCGCACATTGCCAGGCTAGGGGCTGGGCCACTACCCCTCCCCCCAGCATCCCCCGGGCGTGCAAGAATAATGGTATGCAAGCACTGAAATATGATTTACGGAGTCTGCAGTATAAACTGGACGCATTGTGTTGGGGGGGGCAAGAGGACATGACACTGAATAAATATCCGCAGCGTTATGTGTGTATGTATTGCCTGTAAAACGTGTAAAAGGAAATGTCCCCCGTGAGCTGGAGCGAACGCGCAGCACTTGGTAGGGTCCGCCCCCCCACGCAATTGGCGTCAGTTGGTACGGTCGATGTCGTGCAATAAGTAAATAATGAATAATAGAAACGGCACAAATGTGTTAATTAAACTACTTTAATGTTTACGGATGGGAAAATGGAATAGCCTATTCCCACCAAGGGGCTTAGGGCGTGTCGCTCGGCAAATTTTTTTCTACGTGAAGGCCACCGTCCGAGAGCCAAATCCCCCGCAAGCACGACGTTTCGACTTCAAAACAAGCAATCATCATCAGGTGTTTTTTTTCCAAACCTGATGAAGATTACTTGTGTTGCAGCTGAAACATCGTGAGAATTTTATTGTTTTATATTTTTTATTATTTTATTGTTTCCCTTCTACGTGACTTTACCGAAAGAACCAAGAATATGAATCCCTGCAGTCACGAAAGCTTTAAATCAAAACAAATAGTATTATTTTCAACAGCCTTTGCTTTATCAGCTGAATTTAGCTTTCATAAATATTACTTTTGTAGCCAGACAGCCGTTTTGTGTGCTCGGAGTATTGGGTTAACATTCATTTTGAAGATATGAGGGCTTCTAGGCATGTTTGTGACCATTTGCCTTCTCATTGTGTGCCATAACAGCCCGTGTGATGAATTTGGGACACTTTTTCACTATATCATGAATATAAGAATAGGTATAGACGTTTATCTGTGTAAATATGTATTCCTCTGTGTATCGATACTGACGTGTAGATGGTGTTGATATTTTTTTTTCTGTCTGCAGCTGTCACTTCCTCTGCAGAATTAGTCTAATGGAGCAAAGGCACTCTGCGCGGCTCGGTGCTTACAGCATGGATCGTACTGGAAATTTGACACGGCACCAGAGAACTCGTACAGGAGAGAAACCCTTCAAGTGCAGTGTGTGTGAGAAGGTGTTTGCACTTTCATCTCATCTTGTAGCACACCAGAGAACACACACGGGAGAGAAACCCTTCAAATGCAGTGTGTGTGGGAAGGCATTTGCACGTTCATCTTGTCTTGTAATACACCAGAGAACACACACGGGAGAGAAACCCTTCAAGTGCAGTGTGTGTGGGAAGGCGTTTGCACAGTCATCTACTCTTGCAATGCACCAGAGAACACACACGGGAGAGAAAGCCTTCAAGTGCAGTGTGTGTGGGAAGGCATTTGCACATTCATTTTCTCTTGTAGCACACCATAGAACGCACACAGGAGAGAAACCCTTCAAATGCAGTGTGTGTGGGAAGGCGTTTGCACAGTCAACTACTCTTGTAGAACACCAGAGAACACACACAGGAGAGAAACCCTTCAAGTGCAGTGTGTGTGGGAAGGCGTTTGCACAGTCATCTACTCTTGCAAAACACCAGATAATACACACGGCAAAGAAACCCTTCAAGTGCAGTGTGTGTGGGAAGGGGTTTGCACGCTCATCTACTCTTGTAGACCACCAGAGAACACACACAGGAGAGAAACCCTTCAAGTGCAGTGTTTGTGGGAGGGCGTTTGCACTTTCATCTCCTCTTGTAGCACACCAAAGAACACACACGGGAGAGAAACCCTTCAAATGCAGTGTTTGTGGGAAGGCATTTGCACAGTCATCTACTCTTGGAATACACCAGAGAACACACACGGGAGAGAAACCCTTCAAGTGCAGTGTGTGTGGGAAGGCGTTTGCACGTTCAACTCGTCTTGTAGCACACCAGAGAACACACACGGGAGAGAACCCCTTCAGGTGCACTCCTTGCGGGAAGACATTTGCACTTTCATCAAATCTTCATGCACACCAGAGAACACACAAGCATCAGAAGATCCAGAAGGAGTGGAGTCTGAAATCGGCTTGTGAAAGTCAAAGTGCCGCAATGAGCCCATCCCTCATTAAACAAGAACCGGAAGAAAATCCCAGCTTAGACACTTTTAAAGGTATCAAGGTGAAATATGAAGAGGTGAAGGTGAAATGTGAAGAAGTGATGGTCAAGAGCGAAGAAGTGAAGGTAAAATGTGAAGATGAAGATTTCACTCCAAAATCAGACCTTCACATCGATAGAGGCAACGTGAAGCAGGAGGAGAATTCTGACTGTGAGGCAGAGCGAGGCAACTCCCAGCAGTTTGTGGAAGTTGAGGTGTGGGTGGACTTCCTCTGAAACAATACAAAGTCAAATGGAGACCCGGTAGATGTGTAGCTTGAGATTATGTCGCTCCAATAGACGCACCTTTGTCACAGGCCTTTAATGACAAGAATGTGAAGTTGAACGCTCAATTCCTCGGTTCAACCTGCAGGGCAAGAGCGGCCAGTCTTTGTGGACCTGTGGGTTGCGTAGATCTCTAACCAGGAGTGAGAACCAATAAGCTCCCAAGCATTCGATATGTAATCATAATTGCATTTACATGGTGCTTGCTTAATTGCCTCAGCAACTTGGAGTTTTGTATCGTATCTTGTCTCAAACACTCGAAGAGCATCCCCAAGTAGCAGCTGCCCCTGTGTGGCACAAGGAGGTGGCCCTGCACCGGCCTGCATGTGGACAAGAGTCTGTCAGTAGGGGGCGGTGGTTGATGTGGCATCTTAGTTGTGGAGTTTGTCGGTAATGTTTTAGAATTTGATCAATTTTGACCCAGACGTCAGAATGCAATGGCCTACTCGTTTTGAATTACACTATTATGTTGTACATTCACTTCGATTTAAAGCTTTCGTGACTGCAGGGATTCATCTTCTTGGTTCTTTCGGTAAAGTCACGTAGAAGGGAAATAATAAAAATACAGCATAATAAAATAATTCTCACGACGTTTCGGCTACAACGCAAGCAGCCGTCCTCGGGTGAAGAATGAAACACCACCAAGCTTGGAGCGTATATTTAAGCTGGGTTGGAGGGGGAAGAAGAGCGCCTTGACAAATTAATTTGCATATCAAGAGGAATTTAACATTCCTTCCCTTTGTTAATTCTACCCCCTGTCCCCTCCCTTTGATGCTGCTAATCCTGCATAATGCACGGGCATAATATGACTTTGAAACCCCCCGCCCACCTCCTACGCATTTCCCATAAATATGCTAAATTCCTCTTGATATGCAAATTATTTTGTCAAGGCGCTCTTCTTCCCCCGCCAACCCAGCTTAAATATTCGCTCCAAGCTTGGTGGTGTTTCATTCTTCACCTGAGGACGGCTGCTTGCGTTGCAGCCGAAACTTTGTGAGAACTATTTTATTATGTTTTATTTTTATTATTTTCCCTTCTACGTGACTTTACCGAAAGAACCAAGAAGATGTACATACACTTAAGCAGACGGTGTGTATTTTTAAAAATAACTTATTGTTAATACGATGTAACCTGATGCAGCATAATTAGGTGCAGTAATTAAATTTTGTTAAAATAACTCAATAATTTAGAATTAATACTTGTATGATTGTGTGTGTACATGTAACATTTTGTCTATAAGGGTTAAACATTGATTAAGTGATGTTAGGACAAAGTGTGTGTTTTGGAAGTAACCTGGACAGATCACTCTGGTGAGACCCGTTATTTTTGTGATACAGGTCAAAGGGTACTTTTGTGTTTTCAGGAAGCATCTCCCCTTGGAGCAACTCATTGTCTTTGAAATAGGGAGCGCATTCGGATCATTCATCAGTTACAAGGCATACCACTCAAAAGTTACACGAATAGGAGGTACATTCTCTACAACACGAATTATAATTTTGTATTACGTGTTGACGTAGATTTTGTCGAACTAGGACTAGAAATTATCCTTGCTGATTAACGTCTGAATGTTCACAACCATGGGTTGAAGCAAGCCCCTCAGAACCATTTACGGCCTTGGGCCAGGAAAGTCATGAAAAAAAACTGCGCACGAACGACGTATCCACGCAAGCTCCTGATGGTCCGTTTTAAAGTTTGAAAATGAAACAATGTTGAATTGTATTATGTTTTGAATTAGATAATTGTATTTCTTCATTAAAAGCTTATATAATTTTACATCTGGTAGACTTAATTGAAAACGACATTTCGTGTAAATTTCCTTTCGTCGTTAAGTAGATGGCCTTGCCGGGGATTTGGTTCCATGCGGAGTTTCACCTTTTCGGGATTGCGGGATCGAAATAAGGCGGCACAGAGCTGGCTGTGCGAGAAGACCGCCGTCCGTAGATCGATTCCAACATGATCGAACGTCTGTCCCTGCGCCTCCGTCGTTCATACAGGGGGTGCGTATGTTTGCAGCGCCCCCTGCATGAAAACGACGGAAAGTGCAGCGTTCGTCATAGGTAGATGAAGTTGTGTGCTTATATAAGAGTATAGCCAGTGGGTTTCAAAGTACCTTTGTCTTACAGAAATCAATTTCGCGTGAGCCCACCGCATTAAAACAATGCTCAGCTGAGCGGGGCAAGTCACAGTGGGGGGGGGGGGGGCACCTTATATATGTCACGTGCCGTAGCTCACGTGACTTCTGCCGCGAAAATGTCTAGATGTTTTCGCCTGAGGACGACCGCTTGTGATCGAAACGTCGCGATTTATTTTCTTTTTTCTACCTACGTGACTTTACGGAAAGAACCAATGAGTATGAAAGACGTCTCGTCTGCTGATCTTGTTCATATCTGTGTACATCGATATCCCACATTGCTTACATGTGTAGTGACATAAGAAGGGAGGGGCTGCTGGGGGCTCTGGGACCTGGGTGGGCCTGGCGCTTAAGCCTCTTGGCACCAGGCGTTGGGTTCTCAGGCGGGTCCAGACGCTTAAGCCTCTTGGCGCCGCCAACGGGGGGGGGGGGGGCTGTGTGTGCTCTGTGGGATGTCTGGTGGCGCACACGGCCCCACCCCTCGTTGGACCAGGCATAAAAGGAGAGCTCCCTGGACGATCAGGGCCCAGTTGTAACTCAAGACCCAAGACCCACGACCAGCCATCTGAAGACCCTAGGATGCTGTGAGAGACAGTGGTGGGAGTCTGGAACTCCCGACTCGACGACCTTCTGAGGCGAGTTCCAGAGCGTAGCCAGAGTAGAGTATCTAGGCTGTGTACCTAGGCTGTGTACCTAGGCTGTAACAGAGTATCAAGACTGTTGGAGTGTTGTATTATAATAAAGAAGTTACCTCTACAAGTGTCTCCGGAACCCGTTACACATGTACACGCCACACTGAAATAAATATAAACTAGAACGACTAACGGGGATGGGCAAAGATCGAGGAAACTCTTTCCATGGAGTGAGTTAAGTGTGTTCGATTCAACATCTCTGCCCGCCTCTGTGTGTCTCTCTCTGTCTCTGTCGTCTCTATCTTTCTCCGTCTCTGTGTTCCTCTTGTCTGTGTCTGTCCGCCTATCTTGTATGGCTGTGTGTGTCTTGTCTATCAGCGTCTGTCCAACCATAGTCAATGACTGTAGCGGCACGCACCCGTTTAACTCCCATGGCTACACGCCACTCAAACTTGCTCCGAACACACAAAGACAAAGATCCCCCGTATAGCCTGGACAGAATGTTGGGGCAAGTGCCCAAGCCTTGTCCCTAGTTTTCATGAGCTTAGTAATCAAAGGATCAAACCATGGTGGGCGCTTGCCTTTAGTTTTAAATCTAACCAACGGAGCATGTTTGTCAAGAATTTGGAGAAACGTGTACCTGAAGGTCTCCCAAGCCGTAGTCAGGTTAGGGATTTCAGAGACCTTGTCAATATCCAAGTGAAGCACATCATTAGTAAATGCCTGAATGCTCAAGTATCTCATGGAGTGCTTCTCAACCAATTGTGAGGGGCATTTGTCAATAGGACGTCAAGCAGACATGACTCCCTGATTTTTTAGGTTGGGTCTTGTGGGGACATTTATTCATTGAAACAGGTTAATCTATCTGCAAAATTTGTGGCCACGGCCGGCAATTTTAGCCAATTCCAATTTAGATCACCTAAAACGATTTCACCTTTAGGGAGGCCCCCAAGAAGCTCTCTCAGTGCAGACGCAGCTTCAACATCCTTCCCACTAGGCGGTCTATAGCAGCACACTACCAATATCTGTTGATTATTTGGGAGAGTTATTCTGAGAACAAGACCTTCAATACAATTTTTTTAAACAAGGAGTGAGCTGGTGAACATGCAATAGTATAGATGGCAATTCCACCTCCTTTAGATCCTCGGTCAAGCTCAAAAAGGTTATTGTTGTCAATCGTAATCTGCAAGTCATTTACAGCAGGAGTGAGAAATGTTTCTGTTAGGCAAACAATGTCCGGGTCCAGGCTTGCCACTTCTAATTTTAGTTGACTTAATTTAATCACAAGCCCTCTGATGTTGACGTGTAGAACACCAACACCTTTTCTGCCAGAAAAATCTATAGAATTATACGATTTCTTTACATTTGGGCCAGGATGAAGCGCAATACCACCCAGAAATAAGAAAAGTAGAATTAATAGTTTGCACAGGTATTTTCTGTGAAAGGATGAAGAGCGGCGAACCTTGGATGAATATCAGCAGCTCGCAGGTGGTGATATTCTTAAGAGCAGAATGAAGTTTGGAAGGAGTGCTGGTGAAGTAATGGGACAAAGATAAGGTTGAAAATGATTCAATGATGGAGTGTAGACTTGTCTATACGCTGTTTAATTAGCAGGTGTAGTGGCAAATTGAGCAACAACTATGGATGCGAAGTAACGAGGGTAGCCGTTTGTAGAGTTGAGTGTGGCACTAGATATGGCCGGGAGGGACAGCAGTAGAATATACAGCAGGAGAATTGCCATCTTTAAAACATCAGGGATACACATAGTTTAACACATGAGCGAAAAATATATATACTTGTAGGCCGAGCGCGAGAAACGTCTTGCCACACTCGCCACACATGCACGGCTTCTCACCCGTGTGCACTATTGGTCACAGCATTGGAGGTGACGCAGAAGAGGTTTGCGCGCTCATTTATGGCCTTGAGCTTCTCGCTGCACTCGGGCGGCAGCTGAAGGTTTTCCAGGTCGTTGAGCGAGCGCTGGAGGGCGGCTCCGTGCTTGCCGATCAGGTCGTTGCATGTGCTCATATCCTCGAGCTTGGAGGACAGCGAGCGGAGCGTGGTCTGCAGTTCCCTCTTTGCCGCCCTGTGTGCCTGATTTGTAGAGCCTCTGCCATGGCGTCGTAGTCCTGCCTTGGCTCTCTCGGTCTGCTCAAGCACTCCGCCACAGACTCTCCGTGCACTTCACACGAGCATGAGCGACGCGTCACTCCTCACCACCACGACCACGGCGGTCCGCATGGCACTGGGTGCTGCTCCCTGTGACTTCGGGTGACAAAGGCGGCCGGGCCTGGTTCTACCCACACACCTCCTCCTGTGCCATGCCGGCCCCCATTTATACTGCTCGGGAACAGCACGTTAAGGCTAAATGTGGGTCTTCGTCTGAGTGTGGTTGTGTGCAAGTCAACCCGTGGCACCTGGGTCGTGCACATAGCCTGGCACAAGCGTCGTGGTGACGTCACCGCCACTTAGCGGCAAATTGCGGTTGTCACCATTTGTGTGTGTGGGTGTTTGTGAGTGTTGAGTTGAATATCTGCGCTTTTTGTTACGTCCTGGGAGTCCTGCCTACGACCCGTCCTGGGTGTCACCAGGCCGCCTCGTGTAAGCAGCTCACAACTCTACGTTGAACTTCTTTCGCACCGTACACAGCTGACCGCGATAATCGGAGGTGCGGGGGAAGGACAACAAACTAAGCACGCAAACAAACTGTTCTAGAGAAAATAGTTTTCAATCTGCCCCAGTGGCTTTCTCATATTCATTCATAAACCGTAAAGGATA